GGGGGGGGGGGCGAAGCGGGAGATCGGTGCGAACACAATGTAATACGTTTACATGGCGGCCTGAGGGTCTTTTGATGGGCAAGTACTCGCCTTCGTCGCTGAAGCTTTGGGGATGCTATTCCAGATGACATTACAAATAAGGCGCAGGGGCAGAGACCCGTCGAGGAAGCTGGTAAAAGCTGACACAGAGAGTGTGGCAGATCGAACCACGCCGCTAGATCAAAGGTCGCTCAAGAATTGGAGGCCCTTTCATTTACAGGAGCAAGCGAAGCGAGACTTACCAAGGAATATTCGGAATGACTCTGACGATTTGTTGAAAGCTTGCTTAGGCATCAATGGTAGAATCATACGCCCTGCACATTTGTTGCTGACCCCGAGCTCCTTCTCACTGCCTCAACGTATAATGTGGCACACCGTCCTCAACTTCCCTCGCTTCAGGGGCATATTTACGAGTGGGTGGATCAAACTCCCAAAGTTGAAGCAGCGTAGATAGGGCACGCCTCACCTTAACGACTGTCGAGGACGTCGGCAACTTCTGTGCAAATGCTTTCTAGCGACTTGCGCAGCAATCGTCGAACGAAGGAGACCAGGCAGAAAAGTGTTCCCTGACATGCCAGGTGCGTCGAGAACATTAACACTCGGATCTCCGTGGAAGTTCGTAGGTGCCAACCCCGTTTCTTTTGTTCTCCTCTCTTCGCGCTGCTGTCCCTGCTGTCCCTGCTGCTGCTACTGCTGCTGCTTCCGCAACGTGCAGGAGTACAAGCGGCTGGAGACCCTTCGTCAGATCAAGGAGGCCGATCGCCGCACGGAGGAGATGGCGACGAGAAAGGAAGAGATGATAAACCAGAGGAGAAGGGCCGCCCTTGAGGTAAGTATCCGACAACTTCGGATCTGACGCTTGCTAAAAACCGCGTTTGTTTCGCGACGAATCCCGCAGCTTGCGAAACGGGGGTCGGTTGCTATCTGTGGAACACTGTATTAAGTCCGTGGTCGCCTATTTCTGTCGCATTGAGTTATGATATCCTCAGACCGTGTTTCTCGTAAACCTTCTAGACCAACCTTTGGGGAAAGTTAGGCCGGCCCAAACGATCAAGTGCGAAATCGCGGGGAACTTGCCTCGACTCTTTAGTGTGAGCGCTGGCTTACTTGTGGAAGCGGCGCGTGTACGTTGCCCTGTCCAGGCCAAGATGCAGAAGGAGGAGATAACACGCATCATGGAGAACACCAAACGCAACCAGAAGAAGGCGGCGAAGCTCATTCAGAAGGTGTGAATACCTTGCATGCGTACAAAGGTCGCACGTCCGATTGGTTGGCAGACATGTGTGTATTGTATGGCAACTGTAGTGGTGGGTGCGCCACAGCCTGAATTATAAGTCAAATCGCACGTCGGGGGGGTAAAACTACTAGGTGGTCAAAGTGGATTAGCACCGAGACCACCGGTAGGTTTGCATGCGGCGCTGCTCCTACCGCAATTTTTGAAGATCATTCCGTTGTACCTGCACTCTTCGCCCCCCTATTGAAGGCAATGAAGCGCGGCAAAAGTCGGACAGATCCTCCGCGCAGAAGACGCCGACCTGCGGGCAACAACAACAGCAACAACGACAGCAACAACTGGTCGGACGGTGAGGGCGCAAAAAGAATAGCGCCAAAAACGTGTTCTCCCTCGCCTCTTTTTTCTTGTTGAAGAATACTACAGCAGAGTCGACCTACCACAGCGATGGCACCTACGCATATTCAGGCTCTTGGAACTACCCAGATCGCTGTAGTATTCAGGCCTGGGGCGATGGTACGACTGTTCAGGCCTGTAGCGATGGTATTCATATTCAGGCTTTTGGGACTACCCAGATCATCTCGTTCACGGCAGTGCTCCCACCGGATTGCGGCGGTTTCTTAGTAGCACGGTGGTAGCCCTTCCACAGGAGCTGTTAACTCGGTTCCTACCTATTGAGGACGCTTGCTGCAACGCACGACTCTTCCTCCCTCGCGGCATGTCCATGTCCAGCCGCTTACCGTCACGTTTCTTCGTTCACCCTGCTACGCCCTCCAAATTTCCTTGCATTGCTTTGCGATATAGAGAACTTTGAAGGCGGAAACGACGGTAGGTCGAGCTCGGCTAACCTTCCGGCGACCGCGGGCGCACAGGTCAGTTTCAATAGTGTTGTCTCTTTTCAGACCACACATCGGACAGGAAGCGATATGACCTACAAGAAAATACGGTAGAGCACGCTAAGCAGTGCCCCAAGTGTCTTGAATGCTTTAATTTAGTCGAGAACAGCAGGAGATAGTGCCGAACCATGGCCATTCGTCCCCCGAGCCAGAGCAAGCTAAGCAGAGACCAAGTGTATTGAATGCTTTTAATACCCAGAAGCAGGGGATATTTCCAAAAAATGGCTGTTCACCACCGCCCTCTCTGCCTCGTACACCCTTCCGCTCGTGAAACTGTCGGGGCGTGTCAGACCTCCGGAAACGACAGGACAAAGAGCGCACGAGCGGCAACTCGAGTTCGGGGAGAGGTTGATCCGGCGAATAGAGTGGACCTCGGGCCGCCTCCTGACGCTCCCACTCTCGAAGCGCGACTACGAGCGGCTGCACCGAGCGACCCGAGTCCTCAGGTACATTACATGTGGTCCCACGTGTGGTAGCTCTTGGCTGATGGGATGTGTAGGGCGTCGAAGATTCATGCTCACACGAGCACCTTACAGCTGCGAACGACTTCAGACCCAATGTTCGTGTGTCGTGCACTACACTGCGCGCCCTGCCCCCCGGTGTATCTTCGTTGCACACAAGCGACCTCCCTGCCCCCCTCCTTTTACTGCTCTCTCTCTCTCTCTCTCTCTCTCTCTCTCTCTCTCTCTCTCTCAATGCGTTTGCAGCCGTACATGTCGCCGTACGAGAACACCGCGACACCACAACCGTCAGCCACGGTCACGTTCTAAAGGAGGGACGCTGTACCTTCGTAGGAGTAGGGGAGTTGTACGTCGGTGCGTTGCTGTGTGGTTATGGGTGTTGCTGCCGACGTTGAACATCGGGTTTTCAGGCGAGAGATAACTTAACGATAGCACGAAGGAGGGCGTAGGTTTTTCGTCTCGCGCCTCAAAGCGGTCGAGGTAGGTTTTCACGAACGCCGGGCCGTGTGCCCAAGGTTATAACCCTTCCTCTCCCTTTGTGGCGGGCTTGGCCAGCCACTGATCCAAATCCTAGAGTTGCACACGTGAAAGGCGGTAGTCGATTTCGACAACCGTTGGGGGAAGGTGACTTACTTTGAATATCACCTCCGCGTTTACCACCCCGCTTCTCATCATTTTTATTGCTACATAGACAAGAGGAGGTTTCGATAAGGGGTAACGTTGAAACAGTCTACAGAAGTTCCAAGTCTCCACTTACGTTTACAATGTGAGTGCGTGCGTAGACCAGTTCTCGGGGGGTTGCGTAATAATTAGTGCGGAGAGGGAGCAGATCATCTGCTTTCCGGGCAGGCGTGGTGGTATGACGTGGTCTTTTTCTTTTGTTCATACAGTCGGTAATGGGTAGTTTGGTGACTGGTTGAATGGAACGGCTTTTCACCCAAGCAACGGCTTGACACAAACGGTTATTTCAAGGCGATAGTATTCGAATGACGATGTGTTCGCGCTGTAGAGTAGATGTATGTCGGGCTTTTACGATTTTTGAAAACTTTGAGAGGTTGAATAAACCCTGGATTGGACAACGTCTGGTGAGAACGTGTCACGATGGGACGGCCTGGCGAATACACCCCTTCCTCCCTTGGTGCCTTCTTCGTAGATTCGATGTGATGGCCGGCCCTTCAACGACCTCAAGCATGCATGCGGGTTTGAATGCGAACGACGTGGTTATCGTACAAGGACAATCACGGCCCATCAGAACAGTTTGGTATGTACCTACGCGAAGCTACCGTACCAAATGGATGATCACACAACTGAGTGGCTGTGAGTATTAGTCTATAGTTCGGTAGGTGCCCGTTCGCACCCTCCGCAAAAAACTTCGTGGTCAATGTCAGCGCAGTGGCGCTGTCACACATAGGCTTCTAGGCCCAAACGGTGTAGCCAGCCATCGATTCATGTGTCGGAAGGTGGCCATGTCAGGTGCAGATGACCATTCCACCAATCTCAATCACCCTTTGGCCTCCGTTCAGCCGCCTCAGTCATGGATCCTGGATCCGGTTCACTGAGAACAAAGAGGCGTTATGGTTCGGGAATTTCGTCCATCCTTCCCCCCCTCTCCTGGTTCTGAACTCAACGCACACGCTGCACGCTGTTTCTTCCACCACCCGCCTGCTTCACGGCTACCATAGCTTTACCGCTCTCTCTCCCCTCGCAATCAATAATGGCACGAAAACGGGCAAGGACGAGCACAGGGAGTGACACCGTCCGTGTGCCCACAGCCAAAGCCGGCGTGGAAGAAGAAGCTGCGGTTGACGTAGTAGATGATGAGAATGCGGAAAAATCGGTGGTTCATGCGGTCAATGGCGGTGGAGGGGTGCTAGAGGGGCAGAAGGAGGAGGCTATCGGGGGAAGGGATAGCACCGACGGGGAGGCTGATGAAGGTAAGCTCACGGGGTTGTAGCTGGGTGAGGCTTTGTGCTTGTTGTCTTGCTTCTTGGTGTGGAGAGCTGAGAATGCTAAAGGTTTGTGTAGCAGCAGGCGACGCCGGTGACTGCGACGCCATTCACCCCCTTGCGGCTTGCTTGAACAGCAGCAGGAAGGGCCACGAGGCAACACACGACTTCTTGGTGGCACCGCTCTCATCTCTCTCGCTCACGCCGCTACCAACCTTCCTAGGCCGCCTGCTAAAAGCATCATCGGCTGGGTGTGTAGGCGTAGGCATTGCATGTGTCCAGAGGCCACTTTATCCGGCAACGTACTCACAGAGCCACGTCGCGTTCAACTGCTCCAGTTTACGAGTAGAGAGCAAGGCTCAATGGTATCAGACTACTACAGCAGTAGGCACAGGTAGCGGACACCATGTATAAGATGGCACCTTGAAACCTGCGCAAATTAGCAGAGTTTCTCCTCCCGCGGCTGAGCACAGACTCTATGCGACGGATGCCACGTTCATCCCGGTTCCACGCCCGCGCCGTTCATGCGTATCAATACCGTATACGACACAAGATAACACACCCCCTGGACCCATTTTCAAAGCTCGATTACTCCACGACCAAGAGGATGTAAAACGAAACGATACCTTTTCGGAGAGATCTCGACCAGAAGGCTTTCAGCGCCGCCATTTTCGGCACCCTTACTCTTCCTGCTGTTGATAAATCGAGCTTGGAAAATCGGGCCAGGGGATGTGTTATCTTGTGGCGTACGCGTACGGTACTTGACCCAAAAGGGCAACCGCTGCTGCCCGCGACCATCGTACATGGTACCGGTCGCCCGGTGGTCTAGTGGGTAACCTCACAGCCTGCTAAGGACCAGGTCATGGGTTCGAGTCCCGGCAGAATGAGTTTTTTTCTCACTAAATAAATCCTGGTCTAGGATGAAAGCGACGCGCTGCAAAGCTCGTTGTTGGTAAACCATTATCGACTTCGTAAGTCGCGAGGGAAGGGATTGCTGTACCCTTCTCGCGATAAAAATACCTCAGGCAGGAACCGCAGGAGGGGGTTCGCCCTCCCCCTCCTATGTGACCCCGGTTGTGTCGTCTAGCTAGTAGAAGTAGAAGATAGGGGCCAAAGGGGCAGTCGACAAAGTCCAATGATGGAAAATATATATATATATTGTGTTGGGGATGATCCGACCTGGGTACGGGGGCTTCCAGATGGTACGTCCCTTGCTGGCACCTAAGCCATGTGATTGGTTAGTAGCAGGTGAACCTGCCAGCAATATTATCTCTGTCCCTCACAGGGGGGGACAGTATTATATCTGTCCTTTATGCGGGGGGAGCACGGCGGTAGGTTACCCTGAGAGCCAATCCCACACGCCCGCGAGACACCAACAACCGAGTTCCAGCTCTCTCGCCGATGGGCGCGATACGCACGCGTGCAAGACCCCCCGCCTGTGATTATGAAGGTGCACAGGTAGATCGTGGGGGGTTTGGTGCTGCTGCTCCTGCTGCTGGGCGAGAGTTGCTGCGGTTGGGGGCTCTCCATGGGGTATTGATGAGCAAACACCGGCGTTGGAGAATACCCGTACACCATCCACGGCTGCACCCCTGCTGGATCGTCGTGTCATGCATCCCCATAGTGGTTGACGAGTGTATCACTTCGTAAGCCACGACGGGATGGCAGTTGAAGGACACGTACGATCCAGCATTTTGGTGCAGCCGTCGATGTAGTACGGGTACGACACTGACTGGCGTTTGTTTATCAACAACCGTATCGAGAGCCTCAAAAACAGCAACTTCCGCCCAGCAGCAGCAGCAGCAACAGTAGGTACGCCTGCCCGCACGCTGCTCTCTGAAGTACTTCACGATTCCCCTTTTTGCCGGCTGCAGAGAGGATAGCGGTAGCACGACCTTAACAAACGTGTACCGTAGGACAAGAAATATATCGCACCCCCTTGGACCGATTTTCAAAGTTGGATTTGTCCACACGGCAGAAGGAGATCGCGGTGCCGATAACGGCGGGGTTCAAACCTTCTCGTCGAGAGCTTCCCGAGAACCTATCGTTCTATCTACATAGTCGTGGAGCAATCGAGCTTCGAAAATCGGTTCAATTTGGGCGTGGTATCTTGTGTCACCTGGGGGGTACACAGTTCAGCAAGTGTTGCTGTGTGTTCCAAGCTGACACCGCCCCTCGTTCTCAATCCAAGCGGTGCGGGAAACTCGCCCAGGGGATGCTTGTATTAGCGCTGCTGTCCTAAATTTAGCCGTGTTTAGCACGGTGCGGCAGGGGGGGAAGGCTTGGCTCGTCGGCAGCAGCACCACCCCCACACAGCAAGCACTACTTGCCACCACTCCGGGAACCTGGGAGCTAAGAATTCAAGACAAAAACAAGCAGAGTGCAGACGGCACAACTGGGTGTATGTATATCGTATACGACGTAAGATAACACACCCCCTGGACCCATTTTCAAAGCTCGATTACGCCGCGACCAAGAGGATGCATAAACGAAACGAAACGTTTTTCAGAGAGCTCTCCACCAGAAGGCTGAAACGCCGCCGTTTTCGGCACCCCCAGTCTTTCTGCTGTTGATAAATCTAGCTTGTGAAATCGGGCCAGGGGGTGTGTTGTATTGTGTCTTATGCAGTACCCTGGTGAAGAAGAGCCAGTAGCAGCACCGAACGAGCCCAGGTGGTTGGTTAGCGTCCACTTTCACCCTGCCGTGTCCCAAACAGCCCGGGGTACAGGTGACCATTTATATGCTTGACCATGAGAACAGGTGCCATGCTTTCAAAGTACAGTCGTCCCCGCTTTAAAGACACTCTTCTTAAGGAAACTCCCCGCTATAAAGACACATTTTTTCCCCAGAACATGGTGCCCCGCAGATGTACAATAATATAGGGGGGTAGCGTTTCCACTATGCGACTCCCCCAAAAAAATTTGCTGGGGCAGCAAATCTGTAAGGCATTGTAACATCGACAGCGGTCTGCTGCAGCCCGCACTACTGCGTGTGGGTATGGAGAGATTCCTCCCATCTGCTGGCGGGTCGTCAGCTGCCGGCTTGAGGCCATGTGGCGAACCCACGTGCCAGCAAAGTCTCAACTCGTGTCATTGTTTGGGATTTTTTTGCCTTTCTCGTGGAATTTTAATTTTGGCATTTTTTGTTTTGTGTTTTTGCCTCGTGTTGACCTTTGGGGAAGAGCGGTGTTCTCTTTTCGGTGGGTTTGCCCGATTTTTTGTATGTTGTGGTCTGCGCTACCGACCGTTTCCTAGTGTCCCTCAGATCCCTCCAAGGGGTCGACTCGGTTTGTTTGGTCCCTATGTGGCAGGTAACTTGCGTGTATCGTATCAGAGCTAGTTCCAACAAACTGATGTGTCTCAGGTGTGTTCGCGATATCACGGGCATGATGTTCACCGTGAGGACAACGCCTTGACAATAAGAAAAGCCTACAACAATACCAGCGCACACTGCCGTACACATTACAAATATGGTCGTGCTGTACTCCTTACCGCGTTTCGGTGGTGGAGGGAAATTCAAAAATGTGTACAGTATTGGAGTACAGCAGCAGTAGTGTTGCGGCCTTCAATTGACGTGTTGTCGCAGTTTTTAAGCAGCACAATTTCGTGGTCGCATTCCTGCTTCAAATGCGCGTATTTTGACACATGTTACACCTCCATTGACCCCGGGGACGGTGAATTAGTGGCCCCGGAATCCTAAAGACACTTCCCGGCGTTAAAGACACTCAAAAAAAAAAACGCGGTGTGTCTTTAAAGCGGGGTCGACTGTACTACCGTAACGTCCGGTATACAGCAGTCGGGGTTGGGTTAGCCCGCAGAGAAGACAAGGAGCGACACCCTCGGAAAAAAAATACCAGGCTAGAGATAAAGCACCCTCTTTATGAGAAGAGGTTCTGGTCGTGCGTTAAGGCAAGAGAGTCTTGTCTTCAGTTAAGACAAGAGGGTGAGTGGCGGTGACGCACACTACGGAACCCCTCGACAACTTGCGCGAAAATATTCTCTTGCGTAAGCAACTATAACACCACTGTTTGAAAACACAGGAACCATTCGGAAACAAATGCGAATATCCCACCGTTCTCTTTGTTTCCACACACAGTGGTAGCGTGTAGACCGCGCCGTCCGGAAGGCCGATGTGGATGTTGCCACCGATATCCTGGACGAGAGAGGCGTTTTCCTGAAGTCCTCCGGGAGTGGAGAGGGGGGGTATGTTGTCTTTCGTTCTACCGGTCCGAGACAAAAATACCCCAATCGCACAGCAAGTTGTACTTTTTGTTGTTATCTTCGCATTAAAAACCGTCCCGGTCTCCGCTCAGTGACCTCTAATGTCTCTACGGGTCCAGTGAGTGTTGAGAAGAAAGGAAATTGTGGCCTCTGTGGAGGGGGGTATCTTCAGCAATGGCAGAGTATCATCTCCCCAACGTCTGCTATCTGTCGGGAACGATCGATTTTCTCTTTCACCTCTCTCTCTCTCTCTCTCTCTTTCTCTCTCTCTCTGTCTCTCTCTCTCTCTCTCTCTCTCTCTCTCTCTCTCTCTCTCGCTCTCTCGCTCTCCCGCTCTCTCTCCCGCTCTGTTTCTTTGCGGTTTCGTTTGCTTGTGCGTCCGTAGAGGAGGAGAGCATGGCGAGTGACGTCGAAGACGACGATGAGGATGATGACGACAGCGACCCCGGCACCGTCCCCGACTTCCGCAAACGCCTCCGCCGACAGCGCGACAAGAACCGCACCGCCGCCGCCGCTGCTAACGGTAGCACGGCCGTTGCCGCCACCGCCGGCGACTCTACTACAGCGGCGGCGGGAGAGGAGGAGGAAGGGCAATCGGCGGCGATGGAGTTTGCCTCCGACGGCACCTACCGCAACAAGCAGAGGGTGTTGCTGTTCTCGTCCCGCGGCATCACGTCTCGCTTCAGGCACCTCCTCGGAGACCTGCGGAAGCTCATCCCTCACCACAAAAAGGTGGAGACCAGCTTTTGGGGGGCGCTCTTGCTCTGTCTCTCGGCGTGTGTAGCGTGTTGGTAGATGTCGATTGGTTGAATTTTTTTTTTTATTTTAACATAACAAGTCCATCTCTTCCCACAGATAAGGGTCTGAGATTGGTAATCAATCCTAGGCGTCAGCGGAGAACTACGAATACCTGTGTTTTACGATTTTTTGTTTTTGGCTGTTTCTCGTGTCTTGTATGTGAAACTTTCTGCCCAGTAGGCAGCAGGCAGCAGCAGTAGCAATGTTACTGGTTTCGGGTCATCTTAACAGTACGGCTCTCCAAACATCTGTCTTCGAGCAACCGCCGCCTCGGGAATTTTCTGGTGCTTTTCTACCTCGTTTGGTAGTTCCAATCCTGCCATCGCTGCTCTGGTTACCTCGGTCCCACGCGGCGGTCATGGCCTCTGCCGGGGCGTGTGTTGTTGTTGCCGGTCTCGGTGCCGTTGAAAACACAAGAGCTTCTACCATTACCTGGAACCCGTCATGGGGGGGGCGCTAAGATAGTCTCCAGACTTAGTACAGAAACGGTAATAGTAGCAACAGAGTGTGCGTGTGTGGTTTTAATATTAGCATTGACCGCGCTGACCGGCTGACCAGAAACTGTGTTTGTTTGTGTTGGGGACAGGACGTGAAGCTGGACGTCGGCCGAGACGAGAGCCTGTCCAGTGCCGTTAACGAGATCGCCGAGATCAAGAGCTGCAACTCGTGTGTCTTCCTGGAGTGCCGCAAGAAAAGCGACCTGTACCTATGGGCGGGAAAGACTCCCACCGGCCCCTCGGCGAAGTGAGACAAACTCTGAAACGAAAGAAAGAGCATAACATGTTTGGTTGGTCGTTTTGCTTGGCCTTTTTTTTTTTTTGGTCGTGGGGTTGTTATCAACGGCTTCCCCCACCGCGTTCTTCTGAGCGAGTGTTGTTTGTTATTGTTGTTGTTATTGCTGTTGTTGTTGATGTTCTTGTTCTTGTTCTTGTTGCTGTTGCTGTTGCTGTTGCTGTTGCTGTTGCTGTTGTTGCTATGTTGTCGATGTTGTCGTTGTGTAATGTGTATCGTTGTTTTTGATGTTGTTGCTGTTGTTGTTGTCATTGTTGTTGTTGCTCTCGGTTGTTGATGTTGATGTTGGTGTTGATTTTTTGTTTTTCATGTCCAGGTTCCACGTGCTGAACGTGCACACCATGGACGAGCTCAAGCTGACCGGCAACAGCATGCTCGGGTCGAGGCCCCTCCTCAACTTCGACGCCAAGTTCGACCAGACTCCCCACTGGCGGTGAGGGTCTCTCAGTTGCTGCTGCTGCTGCTGCTGCTGCTGCTGTTGCTGGTTTTGTGGACTGCTTGCTGTGTGCGCCGACCTGGTCCACGGCTGTCGTTATCGATTGTAGTTGCCTTTTTGATCAGGCTGCTGCTGCTGCTGCTGCTAGTGGTAAATTTTTCGTAAGATGGCACACAAGTGTTAAGTCAAACACTTGGTCATCGGGAAGTGATGTGACACGTTGGGGATCCGACAGGCAAGAGAGACGCACAGATGGGGGTATGCATGAGTGCGAGAAGCGAACAGGCAAGCAATGGTGGAGAGATCAAATCTCTGCTTTGTGGAGGAGATTGGTGTCGAGACGACGCCACGCATACCACTAGTGCTGCACATACCATAGTGCCCGAAGACATACGCTACGAGCGGCGTACCTTTCTGCTGCTCGTTGGACGACGAGAAATCCTGCTCTGGATTCGACCCTTGGGAGGTAGCCTGTGATCCTTTGGTTTTCTCATCTTTGATGGGGTTTTCGTCGACCGAAGCGCAATTCGCATTTACCAGAGGATTGCACTACTGGTGCTGCTGGAGTTTGTTTCACCGCCCTATCCCGCCCAGTGTCTTATCGATAGGATATACCATAGGATAGGGACGCACGCTGGAGCCACCTTTGACCAAGTAAGAAGGAACGATCGGTGATCGGTGATCGGTCCAGTGAGAGCAGTGCTTCGTCCTCTCGAGGACGCGGGGTCAATGGTCTAGCAACTAACGCAGGCATGCAAAACGTGAGTACCCCATCCCTCCCCCCTGTGTATCTTGTCCTCTTCCTCTCTCTCATCATGCCCCCTCATCATGCCCCCCCCCCCCCCCCCCCCCCCCCCCCCCCCCCCCCCCCCCCCCCCCCCCCCCCCCCCCCCCCCC